GGGGGGGGGGGGGGGGGGGGGGGGGGGGGGGGGGGGGGGGGGGGGGGGGGGGGGGGGGGGGGGGGGGGGGGGGGGGGGGGGGGGGGGGGGGGGGGGGACATAAAGGCCAGGCCCACGAAAAGAAGAGCCTTGGGGTGTCCGGAGTGAGTTCCCATTCCACGCCCACGCTTCCGGACCCACAGGATATCAGGGCTGGAGCGAACCTTGGAAATCCTGTGGTTAAGTCCAGTCTCCTTATTCTATAGATGAGGAAACGGGGGCTCCAGAAAGGAGACGGGATTTATCGTGTGGCCTTAGGCGCCCTTGTCCTCCTCCCTCCACCCAGGCTGTCCTTTCCAATTCCAGGAGGGGCAGGGCGAGGGGCAGGCCATTCTCCCGGGGAACGCAGTACATGGCTAAACGTCCCCTAGTCCTCCTTGAGGCTGTCCCGCCCGGGCCCATAAGACGCCGCCGCCGCTGCGCGCGGCCCCCCGCAGGCCCGACCGCCCGGTCCTCTCCGCAGGTGGCGCCGGCCGGCCCGGCCTTCCCCGCACGGACGACGCTCGCGCGACCGTCGGGAACCGGGGCGCATGGGTCCGCGGTGCCAGAGCCGGGCACGCGGCTGTGCGGACTGCCCGGCCGGCGGCGAGAGCCCGCCCCGCCCACAACCGGCTCCCCAATAGCTGGCCCGGCAGGCTCTGCCCCCGCCCCGCGCGCGATAGGTCCCCGCGGCCCGGAGCCGGCTCCGCATTGGCCTACCTGGGAAGCCCCGCCCCTCCACAGGCGCGGGGCTTGGTGGGCGCCTCGCCCTCACCGGCGAATGCGGCTCCTTCCAAGCAGGCCGCCGGCGTCGCCAGCTGTAACCGCCCAAGCGGCTGCTCACCCGCCACCCCAGAGCAGGAACCAGTCACTTGCACGCACTCGTTTATGCCACCATGTTTATTGAGCACCGACGGGGCAGGAGGCTGCCGCCTTCGCAGTTCTTAAGGGCCTTTACCGTCGCGGCCCCACATAAGGACGCCCGCCTGGAGCTGCGAGTTTGGGGCCCAACCATGGCTCCCATGTCCTGGGTTCCCAGCACCGATCAGAGCCTCCGTTGACTCATTTCAACGTTAAGAACTTCTTTAAACCCGTCCTACTGAGAGCCAGGCAAACCCATACGGCCCAGAGCTGAGGACATTGAATGCTTTGGAAGAATTCAAAGGGCGGCTCCCGGCGTCATGATTAACCGTGGTTTGTCTTTCTGTGAGATATCTGTATTTACACAGGGTGTTCAGTATTAGGAAAACAGGCCCAGGAGAACACCTGAGACTAGCAGCTGAGGGTTAAGTTCTGAGCAGCTTACACTTGCGACCACATCCTGTCTGAGCACTTGCTGACAGCCAGCCCATCGCTGAGTTGTGGGGCCGTTGGCAAGGGCTGGGGGTGCCAGAGCAGAGAAGCAGGATCCACAGCACAGAAGGGAGGTGCCCCTTCTCCCCAAACCCAGAGGAGCTTAGCTGAACTGTCACTGGCTTGTATGATATTTTCCCTCGCCCCAGAGATAACAGCAATGTGACCATCTACCCCCAACTCTGTTTGAGACTTTGGGACAGGTATGAGGGTAAGAAGGGCAACAGGAAGCAGCACAGCCAGGGATCCAGACACCTGGAAACAGGCCTGACCACTGGCCACTTCTCATAGTACCAGACAAGACAACAAACTATCAGGATAGCTAGGAACCCATCACTCCAGCTGCAGAATTACCCACACCCATCTGGTCTATGGACTGAGAGGCACAAGCAGCTGGCTGCCCTTAAGACTTCTCCAAGAGAGCTGCTACTATTGCCTGAACTTGCACGTGATTTGCTAAGAACTTGTTCTGCTGACATACAAAGGGCTCCTGGAGGACACAGCCCAGTGCAGAAGTCTACCACACTGAACCCAGTGGGATCTCCACTCACTCCAGAAGACAAAGGTCCTTCCTGAGGGACAACATGGAAGAGAAAGGAGGCCCTGAACTTGAAAGGAAGGGCGAAACCAGGATTCATGTTTGTCCCAGTGCCTTCAACTTTGACCCTGAGCACTCTAAGGTGAGGTAGGACGCACTGGGGCCATCACCCTCTTTGACAGACAAGGAAATTAGAAGTGGCTGAAGGAGTCACCCAGATCTCCTAGCCCAGCTCTGCCACAGAGCCCAAATTTCTCAAGAGAACCCTTCCTTTAATGCAACAAAGCAGGCCTAAAGACCAGAGTCCGGGCCGGCCCGGTGGCGCACTGTATAGTGCGCCGCTTGAGAAGCGCAGCGGCGCTCCCGCCCGAGGGTTCGGATCCCACATACAGACCGGTTCCCGCTCACTGGCTGAGCGAGGCGCGGGAGCAATACCGAGGGTTGCGATCCCGTTGCCGGTCCCCGGTCCGGTACGGGGGCAACACTGAGGGTTGCAATCCGTTGCTGGACACGGAAAAAGACAAAAGACCAAAAAAAAAAAAAAAAATAGACCAGAGTCCAGTTGGGCTGACCAGCCTCACCCTGACCAGGGTCTTCGTCTTAGGGAGGAGTTTCCTGGGCTCGCTTTGCAGCCCCCCAAGGTGTCTTTGGGGTCCACTGGATCACGTGCACCCCATGAACCCTGAGACCATGGGGGGGACATGTCACCCACTCCTGGCTCCGGCTTCCCCTGTCAACTGATAACACGAGTAAATACTGGATATGACTACCCTGTGGGGGAAGGACTAGGAACACTGGGAATCTCACTGGGCCAAGAAACACACACTTGGGAAGAGGCTTAGTTTGCAGGACAGCAGCCAGGGCACTCCATCAAAACCCACTGGCTGGTCTAGACTGAGCTCCCCTTCTAGCCCTGCCAGCCCCACAGGCGGAAGAGGTGGCAGAATAATCTCTGCCCCTCAGGAGCTCTTGGTCCCCTTTGCAATGACACACAACACTTACAAAAGCACTAGAAAAGCTTTATAAGAAAAAAAAAGTTTCAAAATAAATGAGACAACTCAAACTTCCAGTGCCTTTTCTTCAGGCCGTCTGTCCACTCTGCTGTTCCTCATGCTGACAGCAGGCAGGAGACCTCTGCACAAAATCAAAATCCCAGGTCCTCAATGTTTCTATCACCCCCATACTGGAAGGGCCATGATCTCTGGTCATCTTGACTGTCTGTGGTACCTTCCAAAGGCCCCCACCAAAAATTGGCAACCCTTAAGCCTCAGGAATCCTTTACCAGTCAGGAATGTAGAAAAGGCAGCAAAGGGACAAACTAGAAAACAGGAAACAGAGGCATCTGGTCACACACACACACTGCCTCCAAAAGGGCTGCCACCTCCCATTTGAGTGAAAAAAAGAAAAAACCTCTCTCCAAAGCCATCCCAGAATGAGGCACCAGCATCAGGCACAATGGAGAAAGGCCCCACAGGTAGAGAGCAAGTCCTGCCAGAGGTACCCTAGGACAGTAAGAGGGTGCCCCTAGCAGACTCCTGCCTGGTTAGCCCTCCTCAGAATGGCTGGGCCAGGGCAGGGTTGGGCTCCCCTGGCAGGCAGAGGGAGCAGGGAAGTGTGGGTCCACCTGCTCCTGGGCATGAGTCAGCATGTGGACAGCCAGGTGGTGGTTGCGGTTGAAGGCCCGGCCACACTGGGGGCACTGGTATGGCCGCTCACCAGTGTGGATGCGCTGGTGACGGAAGAGGTCTGAGGGCCGGCGGAAGGCCTTGCCGCAGTAGGGACAGGCGGGCCAGCCCTGACTGTTGCCCGTGTGCAGGCGCTGGTGCAGCAGCAGGCTCTTCCTCTGCTGGAAGACGCGCAGGCACTCGCTGCAGTGGTACACCTTGGCAGCCGCTGGCCTCCGCCCCACAAAGGCACGGCCAGCCGGGGAGCGGTAGCCCTTGGGCTCCTCAGGGAGCCAGCGGATAACAGGGCCGGGCACCACCACCTCTCCCGGCTCCAGGGTGGAGTGGCCTTCCCCCCAGCTGGTGGGCGAGCTGCCCCGGGCCTCCCCGTGCTCCTCGTGCTCCTCCTCCACGTGGGTCCGCTGGTGGATTGTCAGGTTAATCTTCAAGCGGAAGCTCTGCCCGCAGTCAGGGCAGGGGAAGGTCCGCTCTCGCCGGCGAGGGAGGACACGGGGCAGCTCCCCCACGGTCCCCAATGGCCGTGGCTCCCCCAATCTCACCCTTGGCACACCTTCGGCATGGTGCTGGCTGGGGCCTCCAGTCCTGTTCCTGGGCCCTCTGGGAAGCCTTCGCTTGGTCTTGCTTGGGGACACCCCCAGGAAGAGCTGCTCGGGCATCACCTCGTCCTCAGACTGTGCTTCTGTCTTGATGGCCACACCACCACCACTACCTGGCAAAAGGAGTCTATGTTGGTTTCCGTGTGGACCCCACCAGCCCCTGGGGTCACTCAGCCGGACCTTGCATCTGGCTCAACCCCACTCCTGCCTCCCAGAATCCTTTCTCCTGCAAGTGCTGGCAGCACGGAGCAGGGGTCCTGCTCACTGGGCATGGCCAGGCATGTCGTTCAGTCTTGCTTGCTGTCATGTGCTTCACTCCCAGAGGCTGAGCTAAGTGTTTCAGGAGAGGAGATCAAGCTGCAAAGCCAGGAGCAGGGGGTCTGGGGTGGCACGGGTCAGACAGAGTGGGAGCCAGACAGTGAGAAAATGACAGGCAGACATAGAGGCAGAAATCCTGGGCAGTGAGACTATGGCCACAGCAAGAGTTCTGACGACATCTGCTACAATCTGTGAAGGACAGGGAGCCCCGTGGGCCTGCCTGCCTCCAGACTATGGAGAGAGGCCTCTGCGGCCCAGAGGTGGTGAGAGACTTACCCCCACTCCAAGTTACTCATGCACATAGCGACCCACAGAGTGTGCACTCCCTGCCTGGCACTGCACACTCTGGTGACAGACAGGGGGCCCCACGACCTGGGAATCCTGCCTGGGTCTCAGTATGGGTCTCACTTGACTCTGAGCAGAGACTGAGGCAAAGGGGCTACCAAGACACAGCAGCAAAAAGGATGAATAGGATGGTCTAAGGCTGTGACCGGTGATCACAGTCACAAGCCCAAGCCCTGAGTCTCAGCAGATGGCTCTCAGGGGTCCCTAATGCTAGGAAGGAAGGATCCTGGTGCCAAGCCCTATTACAAAAGCACAGACTCTAGACAAAGAGACTTAAATTTAAATCAAAGGCCAACACACACAAACTGCAAAACATAGGATAACATGACCCTAGGCGACTTCACAGGTTGCCATGAGGCTGAAACAAGACCACAAGTGGTCTTTCTATCATCATCATCAGGCCATGGACCTGGTGAAAAACAGCTTGTTTTGGGGGCAGTACCTTTCCAGCCAGACCAGATCATAACAAGGAAAGACCAGGACCACAGACTGATCTAGGGCCCCACAGCCCCCGGGAAATAATACCTGGGGAGCAAGGGAAGGGGCCCTCAGGAGGAAGTCCCTCCCCAGGTCTCATTGCCTGACCCCACCCCACTCCTGAAGGGCCCCCTGAGCTCCTGTGAAGCTCCGCCTTATCCCTTCCCTCACCTGACCCCATGCCAGGCAGGATGTCCCTAGGAGGGGAGGTTGGTGGCTCCCTACCTAGAGATTTTCCCTCCTGTTTAATCGAGGACAAAGTGCTGATGCTGGCTCAAGGCCATGTGAGAGAGCATCCTGTGAGGGCCCTCCCCAGCACCCGGTGCCTGCAGGGCGGCATGCCCACCTCCCCAGCAGGGCCTGGATACTCTCAAGTACCTGCCAGGAAGAGGGGCCCAGGGCTTCTGCCTGGAGGGCTCCAGAGGTGAGAAGAGAGCAACGAAGGCCACACCCCAACCCCCATGCAGGCCAGCTAACAACTTGTTCCTCAGCATCTGACCACCACCCTGATGGGCCTCAAAAGGACAGGGGGCTTGGAGAGTCCCCGGGGCTCTCCATGAGTAGAGCCCAAACTTCCACACTCACTGGGAACACAGGGAAGGGAGGGGATGCCACCTCCAGCCTGAGGGAGGTCATATTCAGTGGGGAGATACTCAGAAACCAATGGAGAGAAAGCAACCAGAGGCTGAACATCAGGCTGGTGGCAAGAAGGAAGACTGGGGGCAGGAGCCAGACCAGCCACGGGCACCCTGGAGTGTTTGCAACGTCAGGCTAAGTGCCCTCTGAGGCACACATTTTTGTAAAAGGATGAGCAGAAATTGCCTTAAACAGAAGCAGAGAAAGGACTGTGGGGGGGAGGGAGTCAAAGCTGGAGTTCCTAAGAGGCCTTCAGAAAAAGGATGTTTACTGAGAAACTGTGACACACTGGCACCGTGCTGGGCACAGGACACAGACTGCCTTGTTGACTGACATGACCAGCGTGAGAACCCTGAGGCCCAACACATGCCCTGTAGCCCTGCCCCCACTCTAGCCAGACGGTGTGCCTAGGCCCCCAACCCACCTGAGGAACCCGCACCTCAGACCATGTCCCATGCTGAAAACACCAAAACCTACGTTCTTTTAGGCCTATCTCAGGGATCCCTTACCCAGAAAGCCCAATGGGTCCCCAGCTGTCTCTCCAACCCCTGAGCTTCTAGCACGTGCTGTCAGTTCCCTTCTCTAGTGACTGTGCGCTGCTGCCCCAATTGCTCACTCACCGGCACCTGGCCCGGGTGGGAGCGCTCTTGCTCGGGAGTCTCGCTGCTGCTGTTCCGGGGCCTGCCCTTCTTTGGGCTCCTCCTGGGCAGGGCTGATTGGGCCGGGGGTGTGCTCGGGATATGGAGAGAGGCCTGGAAAACACAAATCAGTGACACTGAGCACAATATGGAAGTCTCCCACCCAGGTGGCCAGGGACCCTCTGCGGGATGCAGTCCCTGGGATTCTGGGGCATCAGACCAAAAACACAGGGTGCGATGACGTGGTGGCAGGATTCTAGTCTAAAGCCTCCCTGAGGGAAGGAAAGCATAGCACAGTAATTCACCTGAGAGTACAGACAGGTCATGACAGAAGAAACGCCACATCACCTGTCCTCGGCCCACGGAGTGGCTGCTGGCCTCCCCAAGAGGCGCCTCCTCCCAGCCACTCAGTGGCATCAAGGAACGCAAAGGAGAGGCAGGAAATACATACCGAGGACATGGCCTTCGGAGCTTCCACATTTCCACCTCAGTAATTACCTTTTGCTACAATCCTTCCTCCCCACACCTATTCTTACAGCCAAGATGACACAAAATGTTTGCTCAGTGCTTGGTTCCCGGTATGATCAAAACCAGCCCAGTTGTCACTGAAGTTTTCAAATGGTGAAGCCCTGAAATGAGCACATATGCCCTCTCCCACAAAAAAAACAAAGCTCTGGTTTTTAAGAAAAAAACCTGTGATGAAAAATTAGCACATGACAAACAAAGGGTGGCAGTGAAAGGGCTGATGGGTCTCAATCATCTGATACAAAATCAGCCAGGTTCCCACCACTTACCCACTCATGCTGAGAATAGCTCGAAATCATACAGTTACCATAAATGGAGAGGAAATCTACAATCAATGAAAAAAGCAGCACTACCTTCAAACGTGAGTTTGAATTGACCATGCTGAATTTTCCTGAACTGTGGGGTCCAGAGAACCATATGTCAGAGACAGAGAAGCAACCCAAGTGGGGCCCTGTCCACCTCCACCTCGACCAACATTTCTCTTCTAAGATAAGTGGTAAAACCAGCTGCAGTGTTAGCAGAGGGTAAAATGGTGAAAAATAGTCATACAACCGAATTTGTGACTGAGGATGCTGCCACCAGCTCCCCTTCACGTACAAGGAGTTATATGGGACACCAGTGGGCAACGGTGTTTGGCGGACATTATCTACTGAACTGCTGCCAGCCACTGAACATGTTACTTCCATGATAAACCCAAAGATGGTTGTTTCATCAGCACATCCTTAAAATGTAAGCTCATCTTCTGAAGTTTTATCTTGGATTCTTCCTACAACAAAGAGGAACACACTGTTCATCCCACTAAAAATTCCAGAGCATCACAAGGGGTGAGCCTGGGCAAAATGAAAGCCTCAAGAAAGAATCAGAAAAAGAAAGGTCTCAATCAGGATACAAAATCCGGACAGTTCAAGAGCCACCCAGCATTGAAAACCATTTTGTAAACTGTGGAAAGAAGAACCAAGTTCTGGAACAGGTGGATTTGTGGGGAACAGCAGTGGAAAAGCAGCAGCTCCCCAGAGTCACAGCAGACCTGAAATCTGCTGACATTCGCTCTCCAGAGGCATCACTCCTGCCAGGTGAAGACCTCACACAACCCCCCGGACTCCAGTATCCCCCGATAAAGACAAGACGAGGTCTCCAAAGGTAAGAAACCAACCTCACTAAAGATTATTTCAAAAGCCCAGCCAGAGACACAGCAGCAGCGTCTCCAAGAAAATTCTGCGAGCCCAGCTTTTACCAACTACACAGGAGCAGACGCAGCATTGACGGCCAGACCCTTGGGCAGTTGGGCCCCTCAGCTCCAGGACAGAAGAACCAGACTCAAAGAAACAACATATACTTTAGTCCCTAGATTTCAGTTTGATAATCTACAGATCTTTTCTTTCCTTTTTAAATGAACATATTCTGAATGTGGTTTCTGTCTTAGAGACCAGGAGAACAGACATTTACTTTCATATTTTCCCTCTAAGAGGGTTTATTTAAATATTTTGAATTAAAAGTGATTTAAAAAGAAAAAAAAAAAAAGAGTCTGGCTTTTTAGGGACTGTGGTTCAGAATACTACAAAGGGGGCTCCCAAACCCAAGTCTTCTACCAGGCTGGTGTGTGATCCCCTGGGGACCATCCCCAAGATTCTCATCTGTGGTGCTGGGTGGGGCCTAGAAAGAATGTATTTCTTAAAAGCTTCCTAGAGGAAAAGAAATGAACAAATAATTCACAGAGTAAGAAATGAAAATGGCCTCTAAGCATATAAAAGATACTCAAACACACTCGGTAAGAGGTGCCATTAAAACTACACTGACAAACTTCTCACCTATTAAACTGACAAAAACCCTAAGTCTGCCCACATTTTCTGTGGCAAGGTGGTAGAGACCCTCTTTCGCAACAATAATGGGATTGCAGTGAAACAACCCTCATGGAGGGGAATTTGGTGATAAATTCTTACAAAATTAACATATTCATTACCTTTTTTGCGGGGGCAGCTAGACCAGCTGGGAATCCAAACCCTTGAGCTTGGTGACACCACCATACTCTAACCAACTGAGCTAACTGGCCGGCCCCTACTTTTTAATTTAACTCTTTGAATATATAAAACATTTTATATCTGCAAAGTCAAAATGATTTAACAAGGTACATTCATGGAAGTCTCATTTCCATCCTTGTCCGCTCTCCAGATAATCATTTTTTTTTAGTTTCTTATTAATATTTCCAGTGTTTCTTTTTGGAAATAATAACACACAGATACATTTTTTTCCCTATCCCTGTCTTATACAATATGTCCAAGGTCGAAGTTTCAGATCCCCATGCCGGCCAGCCACCAAAAAAAAAAAAAAGTAAAAAAGTAAAAAGAGCAATCTCTAAAATGCTAAAAATAAACAGAAACAAATGACTGCAACTGTATATCAAGTTGGTGACATAACTGCATAGAGACAATAATTATTTCAAGTGGGTTTAAAAGGTATTATTTTGTCTATAAGTCCTAAATGGAATGTATGCAAAGGACAAAAAGCTGCAAAGAACTCTTACATTTCAGTTAGAAGTCTAATAGTTAGTAGTAATATTGGCTTCATTATTTTGAAATTGTAAGATACAGGAAAACAAAATGTTAGAATTAGGTAATGCAAGTAACTAATTATGCTAAACTGGGAATTTAAGATTTCCATGTAAAAGGAAAATGATATAAACACAAAATCGAAGATTAAATTTGAATTAGAAATATCAATAGAAACTCATGATTTTTTTCTTTTCAAAAATACACATTTTCTGAAAATATCTGTAAGTAGTGAAAAAATTAGTAACTAGCACTTATATTGTCGTCTCCAAATACCATTCCTCACTGAAAGGAATCAAAAATCCATGGAGAAATTTAGATTCCAGGTCTGAGGCAGGAAATTAATAAATCTGCCACATCTTATTGTGTCTGAAAGCCACTGAGGTCACATCAAAATGACCTACAGGCCAACTTTATAATAGAGGGACATGGCTGATGATCACAAACAGAAAGACACCAGACCTTTTGCGCCTCCTGAGGTGACACAGCCGGTAGTACACAGCACCACCTCTGAAGCAGTCATCCCAAAAAAAGTTGTACCTGAATGTAAGTAAGCCTCCAGATCTACCTACCAGTTTATAGAAAACAAAATAACATTTTAAATGACACCCAATTCAAAATATGGGAAATAATGGCATTTTAAAAAACATAACACAAATGAATTAAAATGCCAATAAATAAATGGCATTAAAGGGGGAGGGGGTGCCCTTCAACTGAAAAACAGATAGAAAGGTGGTTTATCTATATAATGGAATATTATTCAGCCATTAAAAGGATTCAAGTCGGGCCGGCCCGTGGCTCACTCGGGAGAGTGCGGTGCTGATAACACCAAGGCCCTGGGTTCGGATCCCACATAGGGATGGCCGGTTCGCTCACTGGCTGAGCGTGGTGCTGACAACACCAAGTCAAGGGTTAAGATCCCCTTACCGGTCATCTTTTAAAAAAAAAAAAGGATTCAAGTACTCATACATAAAAGGCAGACATAAAAGGTCACATATTGTATGTTTCCATTTATATGAAATGTCCAGAATAAATAAACCCATAGAGACAGGAGGTAGATTAGAGGTTAGTAGTTCCCTAGGACAGGGGAGTGGGGGGAGGGGAACAGGGAGAGATGCTAATGGGTACAGGGTTTCTTTTTGATGGGAGGAGAACGTTCTAAAATTAGACTGTGGTGATTACACTCTGTGAATATACACTTTTAATAGGTAAATTGTGTGGAATGTTAATTATATCTCAAAAAAGCTCTTAAAAAGGGAGGGGGTTTCTATAGGCTTTTTTTGGACTTAAGAGACTTATAAACCAAGTGTAAAATGTAGACTTTGGTGTATTAGAATTAGGTTCCCAGCACCTATAGAAAACGATAAGGGAAAAAAGAACAAGGACTAGAAATTAGATGACATTCTGTGGATGGGGTAATGGTGTTGTGGTCATGTGTACAAAGAGGAAAAAACAGCTGGATGACGCAAACGTGGCACAGTCAGGATCACTGTTGAGTCTGGGTGATGATCATTTACAGGTTTGCTATTCCATTCTCTCTGCTTTCTTTCTTTCTTTCTTTCTTTTTTTTATTTTTGTTAAAAAAGCCCCCCACAGGATTCTTATGTGCAGTCAGCTTGGGAACCACTGTCCTGTGCACTGCTATGGGGAGGCATAGGCCCCAACCCCTCCTCCCAAGGGCCCGCTTCCACAGAGGGACGCTGGAACATTCCAGGCCTTCCTGCTGCAAGCTGGGGAGCAGAAATCGGGGCTGGAAGACAGGGCAGACACACACACAAGTGAAGACGCCAGGAGGCGGTGGTGCTACTGCTGCTGCTGGTGTTACTGAGAGGAATAAAAAGCCCTACTGACGACACGATGCTCAGTGTGTCCTGCTTCACGCCAGCCATCTCACTTGGTCCTCACAACCACCACGTGCGGGGAGTGTGACTGCACCCTCTTACAGATGCAGACACTGCACGGCTCTAAGGAAAAGCTCTCCGCAGCCCCTGCTCGGGGGGCCTTGCACAGAGCGTCCCTACTCTAGGTTAAGGGTCTGTGCTCCTTCCTGGCCTCCCAGGGCCCAGCCGCTCCCCCATCTTGCCCCCCACTCACCAGCACCTGGCTTCCCTGGACATGCTGCCTCCTCCTCACTCTCTTTCCCCTGGTCCCACCGGACTCCAGGACAAGGCTCCTCTCCCTTCTCTATCCGGGTGAGGATGTCTGGTTTGGAGATGGCATAATCTGCATGCAGAACAGGGAATGGGAGAGCACTGGGTTACAGATGCCCACAGAGACACAGAGACACCCAAAGTAATAGAAGCCAAAGCAAAGACAGACTGTGGGAGGCCAAACTGTGGACAGAGGCCCAGACCCTCTTACACAGCCTTACCCAGGGAGACCAGCATCTCATAGTTGCCCCTCATCACATGCTTGTAGAGCTCCTTCTGCCAACTGTCCAGCTTGCCCCACTCCTGCTCAGAAAAATACACGGCCACATCATCAAAGGTCACGGGCACCTGGAACACAAGTGTCACACTCACTCGCTCACATGCTTATAGGCACAACCTCTTGGGCTTCCCCACCCCAGGGCACCCAAGGCTACCTTGGGGACCTCCCCCTTGCTGCCCGGGGGCAGCCGCAGGATCCAGAAGTTCCTGTTGCGCAGCAGGTTCTCCACGTTCTCCAGCCGCCGCTGCAGCAGCCCGTACTCCTGCAGCAGGGTCCCCAGCACGGCCCACTTGCCCTCCAGCTGGTTCCCGAACTCCACCGCCGTCTTCTCACAGTCTGCCAGCTTCTTCTCGGCTGTCCCTGTCCGTCCCTCCAGAGTCAGCAAGCGGGCCAGGCAGGAATCCACCTTCTTCTCCAAGGCCTGAATGGCAGCCACCACCGTCCACAGTGTGATCTCCGTGGAGTAGAGGTAGGAGTTCTTCTCAGCATCAGACTGGGGCAATGGAGAAGGAGTCGAAGGCCTCTGGTTCTCTGTTGGCTTGTCCCTCTCCAGAGCCTGCTCACAAGAAGAGAAAAGAGAGATGTTATGAGAACGATACAATCAAAACTTCCTCCTGAAAAAGAAATCTGAGACTGGCACCTGACCTGGCAAAGCCCCATTTGGGATCCTAAGGGCCAGTCCTCAGCAGAGCAGGAGTAGATGAGGAGGCTGGGACATCAGCTACAAGCCCAGCCTCGGTGACAGGAGATACTGGTGAGACCAAGGTGTTAGCAAGTGGAAAACAGGAGGAAAAACATGGCTGAAGAGAGAGAGCATCTGCATTCTCAGACAAGTGACTCCCCTTTGTAAATCTCAGTGTCCTCCTCTGAAAACAAAGGGACAAGGCTTTGTAGCTCAAAGAACATGAACTCTGCAGTCAGAGAGCCCAGTGGAGTCTCAACTCCACTGCTCACAAGCTGGCCGACTTTGGGCAAGGTTTTGCAAACATATTTTAACTTTTCTTCCACATCTAGAAAATAAAGACAATAAAAGTACTTACATAACAGGATTGTGAGAATTAATGAGACAATCTTTGTTAAACAGCACTTAGTGGGCCGGCCTGTGGCTCACTCGGGAGAGTGCGGTGCTGATAACACCAAGGCCACAGGTTCGGATCCCTGTATAGGGATGGCTGGTTCGCTCACTTGGGAGAGTGTGGTGCTGACACCACCAAGTCAAGGGTTGAGATCCCCTTACTGGTCATCTTTTAAAAAATAGAAAAAAAAAAAAGCGCTTAGTACAATTTCTAGCACACAATAAATGGTAGATTGGCGCCCCATGTTGATAGAGCTAGGATGATTATGATAATTGCTATGGGCTGAATGCTTGTGTCCCCCCCAAAATCCATATGTTGAAGTGCTAATCCCCAATATGATGGTATTTGGAGGGCCTTTGGTCATGAAGGTAGAGCCCTCGTGTATTCAATTAGTGTCCTTATAAGAAGAGACACAAGAGAAATGATTTCTCTTTCCACCATGTGAAGACACAATAAGACCGCCACCTGCCAACAAGGAAGCCAGCCCTCACCAGGAACCACACTGGCCAGCACCTTGACCTTGGACTTCCAGTCTACAGAACTGTGAGAAATAAATTTGCTGTTTAAGCCCCCTAGTCTACATAGTATTTTGGTATGGCAGCCCAAGCTGACTAAGACAACGATGACATTGAGGATGGGGATGGTTCTGGTGCAGGGACATGGTACGAAATAGTTCATAGGGCCTTTTTTCCCTCAACCTCTTTCATTCTATCGTCCTTCAGTGCCTTGGAAAAAAGGCTCTGCAGTGCCTCAGTTACCCTGGTGTCTGACGCGGAAGCCCTCTCTGAACACATAAAACGGCCCCAGTACTGGTTCATGTTGCTAAAAGCCTTGCTGGAAAGACAAATTGACATCTCACCCCTCCACTTCACTCATTCTTCAAGGTTAGATCACCATCCAGTGCTGTCCATTTGACTTCCAACTTATCTCAAATCTGTCCACTCCCCTGCTCTTCCACCACCATCACCTAGTCCAAGTTGTAATCACTGAAATTCCCCCAACAATACGCTGTCCACAGGGTACTCAGTAATCTCTTAAAAACACAAACTAGACCGTTTCAGTCCCCTACTTAAAACTCTTCCACGGCTTCCCAGTGTACCTAGCATAAAATCTAAACTTTCCACTTTACTTCTTAACTTCAGAGGTTGCAGCTGACCTCTCTACTCTTATATCCGCCCAGTTATTTGCTGCGCCACAGCTACACCGGCCTCCCCTGGATTCCCAGGATACACCAGCTCTCCTCCACCTTTGCATTAGCTCTTCCCGCACATTTCTGCAGGCCTGGGTCCCCTTCACGTCTAAGACACCAGCTTAAACATCGCCTCATAGAGACTTGCACTGACAGGTCTAACGTCATAGCACTAATAATAACTATGATGGTCCATGTTCACCTGTCTCATGGCTTGTTTCCCCCATGAGAACATAAGCCCTAGGAAGGTATGTGCCATTTGCTATTGTAAGAGGGTACTTCAAAAGGTTCATGGAGGGCCGGCCCGTGGCTCACTCGGGAGAGTGCGGTGCTGATAACACCAAGGCCCCGGGTTCGGATCCCACATAGGGATGGCCGGTTCGCTCACTGGCTGAGCGTGGTGCTGACAACACCAAGTCAAGGGTTAAGATCCCCTTACCGGTCATCTTTAAAAAAAAAAAAAAAAAAGGTTCATGGAAAAATAGAATTACAAGGGCTGGCCAATTAGCTCAGTTGGTTACAGCACAATGTCAATAACACCAAGGTCAAGGGTTCAGATCCCCATACTTGCCAGCAGCCAAAGGAAAAAAAGGAATACAAATCTTTCCATTAACTTTTTGAAGACATTCTGTTCCCAGATTCTAAAAGAGAGCCCCACTCATGGCAGATGCTCAATAACTACTGAATGAATGATTAAATGATTAACGCATACATTCATTCAATAACAATTACTGAATTTCACAGTAAAGGCACAACGAGGATGCAGAAAACATTGATGTGGTTCTTCCTCCTCCAGGAGAAAAACTTCGTAGAAATAGTTATAATAGGGCCGGCCCGTGGCTCACTTGGGAGAGCGTGGTGCTGACAACACCAAGTCAAGGGTTAAGATCCCCTTACCAGTCATCTTTTTTTTTTTTTTTTTAAGAAGGAAAAAGAAATATTATTATTATAACAAGAGTCAAGGGCAAATCTGTCCTGTTTGGGGAGTTTCCTGGGATCTCAGGTGCTGCAGGACCACACAGGGAAAGGAGCAGAGTCGATAGGAACGGTCAGAAGGGGTACTCGAAGAAGCCAGCCCTGGGCTAGGCGGGGCCGCTGATGTCCCCTATGCAGTTAAAAAGGCCTTCCGCCCCCCCCCCCCCAAACCTTTTGTCTCCCTTGCACTCAGAGAACAGGAAAGGACACACATCAAACTCACTAACTAAAGGGGAAGGAGAGAGAGCTCCCCTAATAAGCATCCAGAAAAATCGATGTTCCAAAAACTGAGGTATATTAATAATAGTAGACACCATTTATTGAGGTATTTACAAGTACGTCAAAAATGGCCAAAGGACTTCTCCGAATTGGACATACTGCACACACTATAAAGGCAACATTCTAAAATCTGCTAATCTTTAGGGAGAGAAGGAAAAAATAACCCTACAATCCCTGCTGTAAACACTGTTCAGTATCTTCCTTTTAGGTAAAAGAATATTAGGTATCTTAAAAGTGGTCTAATTCCAAAGTCCTGGCGTGGGGCTCCGTCCTGTAGCACACGAGTGACCCCGGGCCAGTCCACTCCCCAAGCCTCAGACTCCGCGGGTGTCCCCTGGGCTGGCGACCCCTGCCCTCTTTGCCCGCCTCGGGGCCGCGGGCCTTCACTGAGGCCGTGGGTGGGGAACAGCCTCTCTGTTCGGAGGCAGCGCTCGTGGTCTTCAAGCGTGACTCCGACGCCGCGCCTGGCAGGGGCCGCGAAAGGGCCCGGCCTTCCGGTGGTGCGACGTCGAGGCCCCGCCCGCCGGGCCTGGTGTTTGGGCCGCCCGCTCGGTGGCCTTCCAGCCCGGCCCGGACGCCCACA